AACGCACCACCAATAAGTGAACGGGCCCTATGTTGGCCCCTGGTTGGAGGTTGCGAATTATGTCGATTCCGCACGGCGCTGCACCTGCCATATGTGGGATCCGCCGTCCTGCAGCCTGGCGGTCAGAAAGCGGCGAGGAGGACGCGGCGGTGTTAACGATCCGGCTCGCTGCGTCCAGATGGACGGATTCCACCGCATTTTATAGGGAGCGTTTATACTTTACTGCCTGCGAACGTGGAGGGAACGGTCATGGCCGCGGCTCCTTTAAATGTGCGGAGTCCCCCCCGCGCTTTATCACCCCAATTTATGAGACTTTAGGTGGCTCTTTATGGTGTGAAGGTTTTATGGATCTAAATTTTTTTTAGATTTATATGATGTATATGTTATTATCAGGAGCGTAAGTAGAAATCACGGGGCCCCATAACACATTTTTGTATGGGGCCCGGTGATTTCTAGTTACGCCCCTTGCAGAGCCCCCCTGAGATCCCACACATCTCACCTGAGAGTGACCCTGCAGATCCCACCATAGACTTACCTGTCAGCCCCCATCCGCTATCCTCCACGGTCGCTGGCAGGCCCCGCCTCCTCCGTCGCCGGGTCCCGCCTCCTCTTTGGTCGCCAGGTCCCGCCTCCTCTTTCGTCGCCAGGTCCCGCCTCCTCTTCCATCGTTCGGAAGTTCATTGTTATAGTTTACATACACCGTAACATTTAGGATGACCTATGGCATCATAGAACGGGGTACTGTCAATAAATGAGCTCTCAGGAAGCCATGGTCTGTATCCTCGGAGAGGAGGACGGTCCGGATGATGCAGGAGCGCATAGGGTGCCGCCTGGAGACTCGGGTGTCATGGAGTAGCAAAGAGGGCGTGCACTGGGGAGCACATAGGGACACAGGGGCACACATGACTTGTTAGCAGTTCCTAGATGACACGCTGCACTGGAGCACACTGGGAGACAAGGGGTCCACATGGAGTCACCAGAGGCCGTGGGATGCACCTGAGCACTCTTGGAGACGCGGGGGAGCTCAAGGGGGCGCTGAGAGTCATTAGATGACATAGGGCACATTTGGTGATACAGGGCCCACTTGGAGACAAAGGGGAGCACAGGGGTGCACTTGGAGTCATTAGGTGACAAGGTCATGCCTGAGGAAGGGACCCCGAGTGGCCCCAAAACGATGCAATGTGAATAGATGTGCGTATCAATAAAATGACGCCTTTCTGAAGATTTGACCGCGGCGTGCTGGCGATATATTTTACTACTTGAATCTGAAGCGGCGCCATCCGCAGTCACTACAGCACCCACCCCAAGGGACATACCAGTGAGGAGTGGGGGAGGATTCTCCTGTAGTACATGACATGGGACACACTTGGAGACATGGGGGGTGCACAGGGACACACTTGGAGACATGGGGGGTGCACAGGGACACACTTGGAGACATGGGGGGCACAGGGACACACTTGGAGACATGGGGGGTGCACAGGGACACACTTGAGGTTGGAGACATGGGGTGCACAGGGACACACTTGGAGACATGGGGGGCACAGGGAAACACTTGGAGACATGGGGTGCACAGGGGCACGCTTGGAGACATGGAGTGCACAGGGACACACTTGGAGACATGGGGTGCACAGGAACACACTTGGAGACATGGGGTGCACAGGAACACACATGGAGACATGGGGGGCACAGGGACACACTTGGAGACATGGGGTGCACAGGGGCACACTTGGAGACATGGGGGGCACAGGGGCACACTTGGAGACATGGGGGGCACAGGGACACACTTGGAGACATGGGGTGCACAGGGACACACTTGGAGACATGGAGTGCACAGGGACACACTTGGAGACATGGGGGGCACAGGGACACGCTTGGAGACATGGGGTGCACAGGGACACACTTGGAGACATGGGGGGTGCACAGGGACCCCCTTGGAGACATGGGGGGCACAGGAACACACTTGGAGACATGGGAGGCACTGGGGCACACTTGGAGACATGGAGTGCACAGTGACACACTTGGAGACATGGGGTGCACAGGGACACGCTTGGAGACATGGGGTGCACAGGGACACACTTGGAGACATGGGGGGCACAGGGGCACACTTGGAGACATGGGGTGCACAGGGACACACTTGGAGACATGGGGTGCACAGGGACACACTTGGAGACATGGGGTGCACAGGGACACAGTTGGAGACATGGGGTGCACAGGAACACACTTGGAGACATGGGGTGCACAGGGACACGCTTGTTCTTTTTGGCGGCTCCCCTATGAGGGGTCTCTTACACTCCTACAAACCTTGCAGCAGCCGGAGCATGTGGCTCTACGGAGAGGCTCTGTGGGACGGCAGTTTGTTTTTGCATGCAAGCACAACTGTTATTATGACCATTTAGACTGCCGTGAATGCAGCCGGCGGTACTGCAGGAAGAGTCTATGGTGGGGAAACAGATGCAGAAACATGGGGTACATAGAAGAGAAGATCGCCCCCTCCCCCCCCAATGTTACAATGTATCTAAGAAGAAAGCATCGTTGTGTTGTATTCCAATGTGAGTATAACTTGGATCCCCCAATGAGGCCATTCTAAAAACATCAAAAACAACCCTCGACCATGAAGACTACAACCCCTCAGAGTCACCC